CTGCTGCTCACACTTCTCCCCAGATGATGTAAGCTATATACCAAGTTTGGTAGCGCTAGGTCAATTAGGGGTCGAGTTATAGAGCGGAAGGGAAATTGTCTGCGGCGGCTGGGGAGACATGGAACCATAGTATATACCCGCCGACTTCGTCGCAGGGGATACAATAATTAAATAGATAATTACAGGGTTACTTTCACCAGCATCATTAAAACATGTGGTTATATGATTGTCCAGTCATAAGCGTATTGCAATGTGCCGACTGATATATGTGTGTTTCTGTGTGAATAAAGTCATGGCACGTGCACGAATGTGTCTGCATGTGTGCGTGCGTGCGGGTGCAGGCGCGCGTGTGGGTAAATATTGTGTGCATGTGTGCGATTATATATATATAATATATGGGGTCCGTGTGCGTGTGTGAGCGTCGATCTGGATGTCTGTGTCCCTGTGGGTGAATGAGTGAATTTATCTAGAAAGCATAATACCAAGAGCATATAAAGAAGGCTTAATTCTTTATATGCTCTTGATATTACCCATCTGCACATCATTGCACAAATTTCATTACAGTTAAATTTAATGTCTGAGAGCAGACGCCCAGATGACTGATGATGACAAGCACAGATTTAATTTGGTCTGTCGTTTTCGAATCACCTCATGAGTTAATTACATGATTCAAACATGCAGTCACACAAACATTTTGCTAGCACACACAAAATCTTTTACATTTTGATTTCGTTTCAGGCTGTACATTCAAACCACGAAGACGTACCTAACCTATACGTATAATATGATAGAAATGCTTCAGCCACAGTGTAGAGACTATTTAGAGAGTATTTACTTGCGTTTTTTACTATATAGAGCTCTATCAAAGTGGGAAGTAAGTTGGAATCAAGTTGAGCGTTTAGTGGGAAGCAAGTTTAAGCAAACTTAAAGAAGAACAGGAGAAATATGGGTTTGAAGAAATTGAAACATGTTTCACCCCTCTTAGTTAAACTCGGCCACTAATAAATGTTTGAACATCATCAAGTTCTGCGTTTTCCCAACTATTTCCAATACAATTCAACGATCCGATCATGGCGACTAACAAATACTATTTTAAAACGTGCAGAAACACAGTGCTCTTATTTTCTCCTCCTTTTTCAGTCTCACTAGATTCAGAACAAATTTTCCTACAGATGACAGTAGGGTAAGGATCGGTACAAAGAAGCACGCAAAATGGTTCATATAGTCACGAGAGCAGAATGAAATCATTAATATTGGATTGAAATAAGAATAAATTGAATGCCGCACTGGGAGACTGATTCTGCTGTATGAAACGTAAAATGGACCTCAGATTCTAAATAGATTCGAGATCAACCCGTGATTGTTCGAGCGCATTGACTGCAATTCGCAAACCTTGTCTCAATAAAATTGTCACTAGTGCAAATCCCCGCAGGGAAATGCGCGAACTGCAAGACTCTTCTGTATATACGCCTCTTAAGGTTATAGATATAATCACGCATTAAGGTGACGTGCCACGGGTATAAAATCTTATACCAATAAATCAATAAAATTGTTGCTAACGAGTGATACCGAGACAGACAGCTCTGATCTAGCTTCGACATAAGCCACCGCAACTGCGAGACTACGACTGTCCACACGACTGTTTGTAGCTAGTGCCGACTTACCACACCGTGGCGGCTGAACAAAACTCATTGACAGCTATAGCCATGTTGCGGACAGACGAGAAAGAAAACAGGCGACTTTCGAATGTTAATGAGGATAATTTGTCAAATAAACGTACAGCATGGAATAGTGACTTACTCGTGCCAACCAATGCTGCTGTCGCAGCACAGACAGTCTTCCTCTGAGCAGGTGAGAGGTGGGGGGGGGGGTAGAATCGAGAGTGGACAGACTATGTGAAAGGATGTGTGTGAGAAAATAGATGCACCTTGTGAGGAAATGAGAAACCGTACAATGTCACGTTGTACATGTCTTCGTCTTTGATAGATTCACAAATAAAATAGTTAACATTTCAGCTCAGTATATATATATTTACTAAATTTAATATATTTAAATATTTACTATATTTAGTAAATATATATATACTGAGCTGAAATGTTAACTATTTTATTTGTGAATGGCTTATATTTTATTTGTGAATGGCTATATTCTACTTTGTCCTGAGTCTCCTGACCTATACATCTGCGTGTGACCACCACATAATAATACCAACGAATAATTGTGAAATAAAAGAGTAGGCCTACTATAAAAACAAAATAAAACCATAATTTTGATTGGATGTTCGTCTAAAAACACCACAGCTCCCTATGTGTGACCCTTTCAAAAACAGAGAAGCATAGAAATGATCATTATTGTTAGCGATAACGGATACCAATCTCTCGGGTGTTCAACGTGAACGTGACTGCTTGCTATAGTGCAACGCCGGTAGCCGCTGATACATCTGTAGGTAGGCCGGTAGATCTGTCGAGCTGCTGTCGCGCAGCCCTAAAGCCCAGCCCTGTCGCGCAGCCCAGCGCACACGTGAGTTATTTTACTCAAGTAAAACGACGCATGAGTCATTTTACTCACGTGTGCGGCGGATTTTCGTTGAGTAATTTGACTCATGCGTCATTTTACTTGAGTAAAATAACTCACGTGTGCGCCGGGCTTAAGATAGTACGACCAAGTCACTAACGACGACTAATATTTCACTGCACCTACACACCTACTAAAAACTCCCCTCCCTTTGACCTGCGCCGGTGCAAATCGATATGGGAATTTCACGACCACATATCATTAACTTGCACATATATCCTACTACTTATATTTCCCGTACAACTGCGTCCTGTATCATAATAACAAGATGACATCTCTCCTTCCATAGCTCTCCCGCTAATGATGCACCCACCTCCCATCTCTGTTCGGCAATTCGATCCAGGAACATACACGTGATCTCATCAATTCTGTGGTCATATTGACGCACACATGAGATGATGACCACAGCCTATATAAAGGTAAATACGTTTAAATGGCTAAGGCTTCAGTATTGGCCGCGCGCAGCGCAGTAATCTATAAATTGTAAGGTCGAGTGAGTGAGAGCTATAGCTGACACATCACACGCCTGGCCACACTGCGGCGACAATTATCTTCGCTACCATGGCACAGGCGCGTAACAGGATACAGCACATGGATCCTCGCATCGCACTGCATGATGCTATACACGCCTAGCAGTAATTGCAACGTGAATTCTATGCGTTTTAAACATCAATTCATAACGAATGCTACATACGTTTCTAAACGACCATAATTTACGCACGGTAAGCGTGGAAACGATATACCGAAGTTGAATAATAGATTCTGGATTTTGAAATCTTTC